TTCAGCAGCATGGCGTCTCTCCATGGCCTCTCTCTGCCTCCTCTTCCCATCCTTCTCCTTGCCTGGTAGCCCCTAACCTTCCTACCTGGCTACTGGCCAATCAGTGTTTTATTCATCAGCCAATAAGAGAAACATATATACAGGAGGACATCCCCCATCAGACCAATAGTGAGTCCACCATGAGGCCTCTAATTGCTTCTATAGCCTTTACTCACAGGAGTGGAGCAGGGATCCCATTCCAGCAGTTGGCAATGCTGGAGAGAGGAGATTCTACACCTTCGCTGTAGAAGCAGCAGGAAGAAAAGGTTGCTCAGGCTTGAACTCCTTCCACAGGGGTGGCAAGATTACACTTGCTTGTAAGCACATCACCCCACCTCTGCTTTTTTGGACCAGCCCTCTTATTTTCAGTATGCTTGCCTCTGCTTTTCTTTTGTGGGAAGGTGCACTGAGTCAGATGTAGTCTCAGTTTAGCAACGGCCTTGACTATATTCTAAGACAACTTGCCCACCAACTGAGCTGAGGAGGAAGAAAAAGCAGCTGTACCATTCTTGAGGGGTATTTGATGTTTTTGTTTGTTTTCTTTCTGGGAACTAAAAAAAGAAAATCTGACTTATTGGGTCCTCAGCCCACAGAAGCATAAAGGGCCTATTGCATACCCATTTCCCACAGAATATTTTGGGCTTTGTCAGTGTGTCTCCGTGGATAAGGAGGCAACTGTCCTGGGGAATCGATCTCATTTAGGCATGCCTCTCATACCCAAGAAGATCCACTCTGTAAGAAAAGGATTTCCCAGGATCTGGCAGGCATCATATGGGCAACTAGATTAGGGTTGAGATGAACAGTAACATTGCTCACTTTTTCAGCTCTGTTTTCGGCCAGAGAAATGCCACGCCTTCCTATGGCCCAGTCTCACCATCCAGGAAGTTCAACTCACTAAGCAGTTAATTAAAAGTTTTTGTAACATTTACAAATTCTGTAGTAGTCCTGGTTACTGACATAGGAGGCTCTCTTCACTCTGCTAATATTCTGTTTCCCTTGTACTGATTAAGAGAGACTAAACAAATAAATAAAAGCAAGTATCAGAGGTGAGTGTCCTCTCTTCTCTACGCTCCTGCTTTACATTTCATTCTGATTATGATTACTCAAACCTGATTGTTCAAACTTGTTTTATCTTGCTGTTCTAGTCCCCTCAGTGGAACCAAGTGAGCGATGGTTTCTAGGTTGGCATTCTCATCTTCCATTGTTTCCGTCAGGGAAGACCCTGAGACCAGACAGGCCAGAGGATTGATATATTAGACCCAAAGCTTTCTCCATATTCTTGTCTACAGCTACAGGGTCATCAGCAGCCACTTGAAGTGCCCATAGCAATAGCAATTTCCCTGCAATAGCAAGATGCTGACCTTTCTTTCCTCCGTGGGATAAGAGATATTCAACAGAAGCGATTTTGGGATGTGCCCATACTAATTCACAAGTGGGTCATGTAACATCCAATATACAAGCCATACTTCCTTCATGGATTCAGATAATCAATCTAGGACTTCTTTACTCATTTAACCAGGGTATTGACTGGTTCACTGATTGTTTTGAACAAATGTGTTGGTGTATGAGAATCAGTGCCATAGTGTTATGTAACAACAAGAAAAAACCAGGACCATCGAGATGGCTCTTTAAGGAAAACCACTAGCCACCATACCTGGCAATGAGTTCAATCCCTGGGGCCTGTATGAAGGAAGGAATCAACTCACCTGTTACCCTCTTACCTCCGTGCACAGGCTCTGGCATGTGTCCTCACAACACACTTTTCTTTTTAAAGATTGCAGTACAGTTTATTGGAGACTTAAGCACTACTGCTGACATCAGGACCTGGGGGATGCTCACGACACAGGTCAGAAAGACAGAAGCTTATAAAAGTAGTCAGAGCAAAAGTGACTTCATCCAAGTCAGAATGTACCTGGTTTACCTTAACCTAGTATCATATCTGTTCCTTTATGCCAGGTTCTAGTCAGAGAGGTTAACCATTGCAGAGGAAATCAAACAGTGTTATCCTGGGCAGTTATGGCAACTGTGAATGAAGATGGCTATGGTCAGATCAAGCTAAATCCATGGCTAGTCTTATTGTGAACACTAACCAGTGGCTAAGCAGAGGGGGAGGGACAGTGTCCATAGAAGTCATCACCAAAAGGTTCTGTATTAAATAGCTATTTAGCATACACAGATCAGATCAAATAAAATGAATAAGAGCACTGAGTAAATACAGAAAGGAGGATGTCCTTTTCTGAGTATTTAGAGACCCACACAAACATGCAGGTCTGAGTAACGGAGGCACTAATAGTGACACACTGGACCTAAGGATGGTACTTGGGAGGCTGATGCAGGTGGATTGACGAGTTTGAGGACATCTTGGCTTACACAATAAGGCATGACCTTACAAAGGCACCTCCACACAAAGAAAACAGAAGGTATGGATGGTTAAGGTAGTTACATCAAGTACCCAGATGGCTTCACAATCATGTCTTTATGGTTGGGTGAACATACTTGAGTTTATCTGTGTGCCTGTTGACACTAAGTGGTTGGTATTCCCAATAGATGTGTCTAAGTTTGGATACCCTCTTTATGATAGAATTTTATCAAAACCACCCACTCCTCTTCCCCAAGTTTGGATAACCTATCTCTTTATGGTGGAGTTTTACCAAACCAACTGCAGGCTTCTTCATGAACAGCTTTTCTCAGCTCATTTTCACTAACTCCAAACCTGGGCATTCTTTTCTTCTCTCTTTATTCAGTTCCCTTCCATCAAACTCAGTTCCCCATTCCTCACTTTTTTAGATCCAAATACTGCCTTCCACCAGTCACTTGGTACCAGCATCCCTGATCTAGAATCCAAATAATCAGCAACCTCAATTCTGCTAGCCAAGTCCCTCACAATAGAGGGTGTAGACATGTTAGTCCATGTTAGGACTCTCACTCATACAAGCATGCATTTCAGCAGTCTTGGCCTTTTATGCCCAAGCAACCTGCATATTTTTCACATAATTCTTACAATCTCCAAAAAGGCAATCCAGTGTAACAGTCAGCACAAAACATTCTCTTTTATCTTCAAGATCCACTAATCTTTGAAGTTACTGTTCCCTGGGCTATCACATTCCCAGGAAAACATTCTGAACTTCATGCCTGCGGTAAATGTTAACCAAATTAATATATGTAAAGCATCTAGGTTAGTGCCTGGTACATAAACTGCTCTGCAAGTATTTGCAACTGATTGCTGGTTTTGGAGTTGAGGACAATTCAGACAAAGCTAGTAATGAAACTGAAATCTAAACTCCATTATCCCAAATGTGAAATCCATGCAACTTCTGTGACATTATCATTCCAGTGTTCTACATGAAACAAAAAAGCAGAACCGTGTAAAACGGAAATATTTTATTGTGTGATTCCAATAATAGAAACCATATTTACATCTGCCTAATCACACAGGAAAAATGAGTCAAAAGTGGCAATACTAGTGATTAAAGCATTCATTTTGAACTGGAGGACGGTTTTAGCTGACTGCGCTTTCAAATGCAATTTTACACTGATTAGGATTAGCCTGTTCTCTTAAGCTTCTGTATTGAACCACTAATAACTAGGTACAGTTTATTCACTGGGACAGCTTTGAAAAAAGCTTACAAACTTCCAAACATTTCCCTCTTTTGCTGTCATACCTGCCTAATTCCATCACCATACAGAGTTTCCCACATCATTTCTGGAGGAATCTCGAGGGAAATCTGTCTTCCCTTGAAAGGATATGGACACTCCCAATTCCCCCAACTCCATTCTGTCCTTTTGAAAGGTGTTTCTTTTTGGCATAATAGATAAAAATACTAGTAGGATTTTGGAAACCTAAATTCTGTCCTCCTATCAAACTACAGACAATTCAGTCATATGTTCTTTAGTCACCTATTTTAACTACGAAGATTTGTATTTGCTTGGTCCTTTGTCATTTATCTTCACCATTGTCCAGGAATTTACACAAGACAGCATTATACCTTTATAGAAATTCAGTTACAGAGAGGCCAAACAATATAGCCAAGAACCCACAGGTATAACACATCATGCTACCTCATCTGAGATTCTATTACTGGAGTGTTATGCTCCCAAGTTTAAGTGGGTGAAAAAATTGGTAATTTCCCAGGTCCCTTCAGGGATGATTATTTTATACTTCTGCTTGCTACTTTTTCTCCCAGAATTAAAACAGGCAAAAATGCTTGATCATAAAATTTAGATCCCTGTATTTTTAACCGTCCCTTACATATTTTCCTTATTTCTATATTAGAGGAAGTTATTTGTTCAAATAGTTGTAAGAACTGCCCATTCTTGTTTTTGTTTTGTTTGTTTGTTTTTCAAGACAGGGGTTCTCTGCGTAGCTTTGGAGCCTATCCTGGCACTCGCACCGTAGACCAGGCTGGCCTCGAACTCACAAAGATCCGCCTGCCTCTGCCTCCTGAGTGCTGGGTTTAAAGGCATGCGCCACCAACGCCCGGCTCGGAACTGCCCATCCTTCCAAAAGCTTTTGAAGTTACCTCTTTCTATTTGTCAAAAGAGAGACTGCTAATATGTTACAGAGGTCACAAATTCTTCTAAAAAGTTATTTCATATTTAAAACCAATTCAAAATGAAAAAAAAATAACCTATGGACCATTATTCTTTGGAGTGCTAATAAATATTTTTCCCCTTTCGTGCTCAGTTTATTGGGAAATAGTCACCATGTCTCAGTGCTGAGAATCTCTCCCTAACAAAACGCCAGTCTTACAGGAAGGAGTCAGGAGGGCTCTTGCTTTAGGCATCTCCTACAAAGAACAAACCATCCTAAACAGGAAAGTAGTGAAGCTTAACATTAAATGATTTGGGCCACTTGATCAATTTAAAAGGTGATGTGTCTAAAATGGCACATTACCTCTCATACATGTAATAAATTTATACATGGGATTAGCCATGCTGACATATACGCAGGAACTAAACATACATAAAATTAAAAAAAAAAAAAAAAGAACAACATTCTATGACCAATCCTGAAGAGGTCAAAGAGTACTCAAATTAGGGACACTCGGTTCACAGTGACTTATATAATTTAATACACTAAAAACCAGGACAGAGCTTGGGAGCACATACAGGAAGTTGTTATGATTTTCTTCATTTTGATGTATTGCTTTCCTGTCTTCAGGAGGGAAGATTTTGACTTCAAAAGTAACAAAATATTTGAGAAGGGAATTTACATCTTTCAGTTCTAAATGGTACTCTTGGGCAATTTTCTCAGCAGTCCACATTTCTGGAGAAAGTTTATGATTATTGAGAAGTGTCAATGCTTCTACAACAGAAATCTTGCCTTTGGGAATGTTCACAACATTCTTATCCACGTGATGTCCTATCGGCAGTCTGAATTCCTTTGGTTCTTGCCATATTTCAACATCTTTTACCTAGTACCACAAGAAAAAGGACTTTAGGATAAAAAGATTTACATCTCCCATGATTCTTAAGTTTTCTTTCAAATAAACACATACATACTTTCTCAAACTGTATTTTCTCATTGTAATTGTCTCTTCCTAACTACAGCTTGCCATAATTAAGAAATGCTCTATAAAATTGTAACAATGCATCACCTCCACTAAGCATTATCAACTCAAAAGCTCTAGATCCCAAACCTTCTCAACTGCTCTATGAACCCCCAAGTTAAACTTCCACATATAACTCCCTATAACGATCAGCAGTCAAAATGCAAGTACACTAAGACTAACTAACCCCTCAACTTGCCTTCAAGCTTTAAGTTGTATATGAAAAATAAATGAATTTCATGATTAAAATTGGATACTCCCACAAAGATGCTTTAGAATGTACTACAAATATTCCAAAATCAGATCTGTAAGACTTCTGGTCCTAAGCAGTTTGGGTAAGGAAACCTCAACTTGTATATTAAAAGAATGGGAGTTGACTGGATTAAAATGGCACTAGTCATAGAATAGCAGCATCCTAACAGTGCTCTGACAACTGACTTGAAAACTTTTCCATCTTTCCCTCAAGGATGAACGGTTACCTAGATATGTCAGATGAAATGAACCTTTTCTCCTCCTAGTGGCTTCTGGTCAGTTCTAGCACAGCTCATCACTGTCCCAGGCATCCATTTTCAACTGCACCTGTCTACATCACTTCTTGGCCAACATATAAAAATTCTAACTTCACTATCTTTTTAAGACTCCCAAACCCATAGCCAAGATCTCTCTAAATAAGTCCTGTAATTGAGTTAAAGCTTAAATGATAAATCTGCCCTAGTGACCCCAGTTGCTTTATTCAGGGGCACTCTTCAGAATTTATTTGAAATAACTACAGCAGCTCACCACACCTGACACTGTTGACTATAATGTCCAAATCTACCTGTAACTACCAAAGCCCGTTCCCCTCAGCTTCCATGCTGTCTTTCCCAGTTTTCTATCCATATTTCCAGAGTTTCTTCCATTTTCCTTGTGGCTCTTGTGCCTTCTGTTGCTCATTAAGTTCCAACTACATCTTCTTTGCCTTTCCTTTTTTTTGTGTGACAGGTTATTATGTATGCCCGGCTGGCCTTCAACTTCTGGATCTTCACCCACTCCCCACCTCCTGTTGTGGCCCACATGTAATTATGTCAAAATCTGTGGCCTCAAACCAAGATCTTTCTTTGGATATTTAAGCTCCAAATCCAAAATGCCTAATGGGCATCTCTTCTTGGACTTGTATACACTTCATCTTCAGAGTGTCTAATACTGAAACTACTAATCTACCTGCTTCGAAGTCATGCTTCAACCTCTGTAACTAATCTGTGAACAGACCCTGTTCATAATAGCTCCCAAGTCTCTTAATCCCATTCTCTTATCCTCCATACACTAAATCACCCTAAACTATGCCACTGTGACTTGAAGAACTATTAGAAGACAACTAGCAGGTTTCCTCTAACTATGTAATTTTGTTCCCTTCTAGCTCACTCTCAAATTTAACACCACTTTTTCCCCACATTAAACTCTTCAGTGACACTCCAAAGCCCTCCTGATAAAACTGAAACTCCTTGGCATGTACTTTCAGGATCCAGCCATCATTCAAAAATCCACCCTTCACCTTCCCCTAACAATGTACACTCCAACCAGTCTCCACACCATCACTCACCCCACCTTCATATTCCCATGTGAGACTCAGGAACTCATCCCCACTCTTTTACTTCCTAAATCTCAAAGTGGCTCTCGTCTTCCAAACCCAGGCAGATCCACCCTCCATTCCCTATGGAACAGGTTTTCCTCCTCCCTTCAGTATTCCATTGACACCATTTTTTTTAATAAAATGGAAATCCTCTTTTCATTTAGTAGAAAGGCAGAGGAAATTATAAATTCCACACAGATATAAAATATAAAGAAAAAAAAAGAAACTGAAAAACTAATTCTCAGCAGAAATAAAAACTAGTACCTTGGGTAGCTACACAAAATAAAAACACACTCATTTTACCATACATTAAAAAAAGGGGATGAAACAACTTATGCTAATTTTTAAAGCACTGCTCAGTGTCAGCTTAAAAAATAGCATACTAAGGTCTCAATCATGGATCTTTAAGTGAGATTCTGGTGATAACTAAATGCTATCTATGGTCACTACTAAATTATGACTATTATACAAGTAACTGTAATTGTACAGTCTTTTGCCTACTATTAAGCTGCACACACAAAAAAATTTTTAGAACACAAACTTTGAGAGCTTCGACTGTCACGCCTCATCAGTCACTCTTAACACTGCACCTTGACCACAATGGTCGCCTCCCTGATTCAGGCTTCAATTCACACTCCAGGCCCAGGTTCAAAGGTCACTTCCTCAAAAGCAGTCCCTACTCCTCCAGGTCCTGTAACAACACTGTAGCTGTACAGGCAGTCACAGCATCACAGGCCTCAGAGTAAGACCAAGGTCTGTTTTGATCACTACACATAAACACTTAATGCCTGACGAATGTAACATGCCTACCACTGCAGCATATTATATGAACTTAACAATAGTATTACATGTCCTGTCCAGATACATCCTTAAAAACACAAGCATGATCCCACAAGTCCACAAACAGATGCTGTTGTTAAGGTAAGAACATCTAAATTTACAGACATGAAAAGAGGTCTAAAAGTCATCTTTGGTCACCCAGATAACCTCTGAAAGTACCTTAACCAAAAGGCTACCACTTCTGCAATAATCCTTTCTGC